GTTGGACACGACTGAGCAACTGAACTGAACTGAGCGCCTTTCACTTGATCTGTTCTATGATCACATTTTTCTGGGGAGTTTTCTACCTGAAAACATTATTCTGTTTTTCATTCCTTTTTTTCCCCCAGCTTTACCAGGTATAATCAACAAACAAATCTGAATGATAAACTGTACACAGTGATGACATGATACACATATGCAAGAATACTCACCCAGATATTTATCGTATCTCACACACTGACAGGGGTTTCCTTTTTAGGGTTTTTTAAATGGGAACATCTATTCCCTCCAACTCCCTGACAGCCAGTTTTCTTTTGTTTCTATGAGTTTGTGACATTCTTTAAGATTCCACATATATGTGACACCATGCAACATTTCCCTTCCTTTATCTGGCTCACTTCACTGAGCTTTATGGCCTCAGAGTCATGCATGCAACCACAAACAGCAGGATGTCCTTTCTTCTCATGGCTGAACAATATTCTACTGAATGTGTACACACCACATCTTCTTTATCCATTCATCCACTGACAAGACATTTTGATTGTTTCATGTACTAGATACTGTGAATAATGCCACTATGAACATGGAAGTGCAGAGATTGCTTCAAGATTGTTTTCAATTTCCTATGGATAAGAATTCCAAAAGTGGGATTACTGGATCATATGGAAGTAATATTTTTAATTTTTTGAGGAGGCACCATACTGTTTGCTTGAGGTTTCAAACACATGCTCACAAAATCATAACTAATAACAATGTCAAGAAGATTATCTCCTGTTTCTTCTCTACAAAATTTTATGGTCTCAGGTCTTATACTGAAGTCTTTAATTCATTTTTAGTTGATTTTGTGTGTGGTATAAGACAGGGATCTAGTTTCATCCTTTTGAGTGTGGATATCCAGTTTTCTCACACTATTTGCTGAAGATACTATAGTAACTGTAACAAAGATACTACAATAACTGTAACAAAGACATTAGTTTCCCCACTGAACATTCTTGGCTCCTCTGTCATAAACTGATTGACCAAATATGCATGGGTTTGTTTCTGGGCTCTCTACTCCATCCCACTGATCTAGTGTCTGTCTTTATGCCAATACCATACCACTTTGAGTAATACAGTTTACAAATACAGTTTGAAGTTAGAAAGTGTAATGCCTCCAGCTTTATTCTTTCTCAAGATTCCTTTGGCTATTTGTGTTTTTTGCAATTCCACACAAATTTTAGAATTGTTTGTTCTACTTCTGTGAAAAGTGCACTGGAACTTTGATATGGACTGCACTACATTTGTAGATGGATTTCCATAGTACAAATGTTTTAATAAATTAATTTTTCTAATCTGTGAGTATGAAATATCTTTCAATTTATTTGTGTCTTCTTCAATATCTCTCATTAGCATCATAGTTCTCAGTGTATAGGTCTTTTACTTAGTTGATTAAACTTATTAGGGTTTTTTTTTTGTATGATACAATAAATAAGATTGTTTTCTTAATTTCTCTGACAGTTTGCTATTAACATACAGAAATACAAGTGATTTTTGTATATTGATTTTGTATCCAGCAATGTAACTGAATCTGTTTATTAGTTCGAACGGTTTTGTGGTGGAGTTTCCAGGATTTCCTACGTATAACATGAGACCATCTGCAAATACTTTTACTTTTTCCTTTTACTGAGATGCATTTTCTTTCTTTTCCTTGCCTAATTACTTTGGTTAGAACCTCTAGCACCATGCTGATTAAAAATGGCAAGAGTAAATATCCTTATCTTGCTCTGACCTTAGATGAAAAACTTACAGTTTTCCACTTTTGAATATATTATTACTTGTGGGTTTGTCATACAGAGCTTTCACTGTTGAGGTATGTTCCCTCCATACACACTTTGTTGAGAATCATGAATGGATGTTGAGTTTTATCAAATGCTTTTTCTGTAACTATTGAGATGATCACATGATTCTCATTCTTCATTTTGTTAATGTGCTGAATCACAGTAATTTGCATATACTGAACAATCCTTGTATCCACTTGATCATGGAGTATGATTCTTTTAATATGCTGCTGAATTCAGTTTGCTAGTTCTGAGTTGAGAACTTCTGCAGCTATATTCATAACAAATATTGGCCTGTAATTTTCTTTTCTTGTAGGTTTCTTGTTTGGTTTTGGTGTCAAGGTAATGCTAGCCTCATAAAATGAGTTTTTAAGAATTCCCTCCTCTTCTATTTTTCAGGAGACTTTGAGAAAGATTGGTAATAATTTTTTTCAAATGTTTGGTAGAATTTGCCAGTGAAGCCTTCTGGTCCTCTACTTGTTTTGGGGAGGTTTTTGATTACTGATTTAATCTCCTTATAAATAATTGGTTTGTTCAAATATTCTATTTCTTCATGACTCAATCATGATCCCGTTCTTCTAAGCTGTTCAATTTGATGGCACATATTGTTGACAGAAGTCCCTTATGATCCTTTGTATTTATAGTTGTAATGTCTCCTCTTTCTGATTTTATTTGTCTCCTCTCTTTCTTATTAAGTTGAGCTAAAGGTTTGTGTATTTAGTTTCTCTCCAAAAAACCAACTCTTGCTTTTTCCCTGATCCTTCCTACTGTATCTTTAATCTTATTGCATGTATTTCCACACTGATTTGCTATTCCTTTCCTTCTGGCAACTGTGGGCTTACTTTGTCCTTCTTTCTCTAGCTCTTTGAGGCTTAAAGTCAGGCTGCTTATTTGAGACTTTTCTTGTTTCAAACGTAAGCATTTATCACACTTCTCACTTAGAAACCACGTAAGTTTTGGTATGTTGTATTTCTATTTTCATTTGTCTCCAGATATTTTTTATTTTCCTTTGACAGCTTCCTTCAACCACAGGTTGTTCAGGAGAATCTTGTTTAATCCCCCATGTAAATTTGATTTTTCTAATTTTTTTCTGTTCTTAATTAAGGTATAATTGACATACAACATTAGTTTCAGGTTTACAGCATAATAATTTGATACCTGTATATAATGTATAATGATTGCAACAAGTCTAGTTAACAACCACAGCATACCCTGCTAACTTGAAAAGATACATGCACCCCTATGTTCACTCAACCTAATTCACAACAGGAACTGAAAAGGAAACAACCCGAGTGTCACTGATGGTGAGATGGATAAAGAAGATATGCTATATATGTACAACAGAATATTACTCAGCCATACAAAAGAATGAAGTATTGCGAGCTGTGACAACATGAATAGACTTTGAGGGCATCACACTAAGTGAAATAAGAGAAAGAGGAATACTGCATGATCTCACTTATATGTCGAATCTAAACAACAAACAAATGAACTAAAAACCAAGCTCACAGATAGAACAGATTGGTGGTTGCCACAGGCAAGGTATGGAGGCTAGTGAAATGGCTAACGGAAGTCAAAAAGATACAAACTTCTAGATAGTTAAAAAAAAAAAAGTTAAGTCCTGAGAATGTAATCCACAGCATTGCAAGTATAGTTAATAATACTGTCTTACATATTTCAAAGTTCAGTTCACTTCAGTCACTCAGTCGTGTCCGACCCTTTGCGACGTCATGAACCGCAGCACGCCAGGCCTCCCTGTCCATCATCACCTCAGAGAGTCCACCCAAACCCATGTGAACTGAGTTGGTGATGCCATCCAACCATCTCATCCTCTGTCATCCCCTTCTCCTCCTGCCCTCAATCTTTCCCAGCATCAGGGTCTTTTCAAATGAGTCAGCTCGTCGCATCAGGTGGCCAAAGTATTGGAGTTTCAGCTTCAACATCAGTCCTTCCAATGAACACCCAGGACTGATCTTTAGGATGCACTGGGTGGATCTCCTTGCTGTCCAAGGGACTCTCAAGAGTCTTCTCCAACACCACAGTTCAAAAGCATCAATTCTTCAGCGCTCAGCTTTCTTTATAGTCCAACTCTCACATCCATACATGACCACTGGAAAAACCATAGCCTTGTAACATTTCAAAGTTACTAAAACAGTAAGTCTTAAAGGTTCTAATCGCAAGAAAAAAAAAATAGTCCAACTATCTATGGCAACAGATGTTTTCACTTTGATAAATTCTTTCAATTATCTAAGGATTTCTGTTTCTGCTAGGGTCTTAGAATGAGACCACTAGAAACCCAAATAATCTTCCAAACACAAGGACATCAAGGGTCCTTAAAAATACGAACATAACAACCTTGTAAATCAACTACTCTTCAATAAAAAACTTAATTAATTAAATTAAAAAATCTGAACATTATCTGAGTAGGAATTCCATGTTTACATATCTTTGTCTTCTGTGGATACCAGGATACAGCAAACATGCAGGAGGTTTTCTCCTATAGAGAGGTCAGCAAACCAGAGTCCACTGGCTCAAAAATGTTTTACTGGAACAAAACCATGCCCATACCCTTAAGTATTCCATATACCTTCTTTCACAGCACAACAGCAGAGATAAATAGTTGCAACAGAGATATGGCCCACAAAGCATGTAACGACCTGGCTCTTCACAGGAAAAACTGGCCAAGCCTGTCCTGGATTACAGGTTTATCAAATAAGCTTCCACAAACAGCACCTTGTAAGCTCTGTGGGCAATTCTGAAGGATGAACTCTTTGTCGTATTAGGAGTCTAGCACATTATAGAATGTTTAGTATCCCTGGCCCGCCAGGGAACTAAAATGCTAGCAATACTCCCAGTCTCTCTGTCAACCAAAATTCCCCGCACATTTCGAAACACTCTGGAAGAGAGTGGAAGTACTATCCCTGATTGAGAACCACTGAAGAACTAAATTAGCTCAGAGTAAAGGAGGAGCAAACACAGTCCATAAATTCTAAATGCCACCAAAACAGATGAGAAATGTCATTCCCTTTTTAGAAAGTAAACTAAACATCTATTCTTCTTCCCTGTTGACACTTAAGCCAGAAATATGTTAACAACTTCTTGATAAAATCAGGCTTTATAATTTGATTACTCTATCATGGGGCTGACTTAAAGTTTAAAAATAAATTTATAAGGCAATCTTACCGATTCGTTCCATCCAGACTTGATCTGTGAATGAAATTAAGTTTTGCATCTGCCCAATAAAGCTTCCGTTCCTCATAATCCAAAGTCAGTCCATTTGGCCAGTAAATTTCAGTGTTTATTATGACGAAGCGATCTGAACCATCCATTCCAGCACGTTCTATCTTTGGTACTTCTCCCCAATCTGTCCAGTACATGAACCTAAAAAAAGATATGAAAAGTAAACCCATGACATAAGCAGCTTAATTACCAAGTATCTTACAATCATCACTACTGGATAAAGAAAGTGCTCTCAGAAACACTAAAACTGAAATTCCTAGAAACTGTTACTGAAATTTTAATCATCTTTTTCCTTCCATGATGGTAATAACTGATTCAAGTCCAGCATCATCCAGGACAAGAAAACCATGTGATCAAAGCTTTTAGGGAGAAAGGGTATTTACACTGTCTCAGTGTCAATCCTGAAAGATGATGCTGTGAAAGTGCTGCACTCAATATGCCAGCAAATTTAGAAAACTCAGCAGTGGCCACAGGACTGAAAAAAGTCAGTTTTCATTCCAATCCCAAAGAAAGGCAATCCCAAAGAATGCTCAAACTACCGCACAATTGCACTCATCTCACACGTTAGTAAAGTAACGTTCAAAATTCTCCCAACCAGGCTTCAACATTATGTGAACTGTGAACAAGTGTTCAAGAAAAGGTTGTTTTAGAAAAGGCAGAGGAACCAGAGATCTAATTGCCAACATCCAATGGATCATCAAAAAAGCAACAGAGTTCCAAAGAAACATCTACTTCTGCTTTACGGGCTATGCCAAAGCCTTTGACTGTGCGGACCACCACAAACTGTGGAAAGTTCTTCAAGAGATGGAAATACCTACCAGACCATTTGACATGACTCTTGAGAAATCTGTATGCAGGTCAGGAAGCAACAGTTAGAACTGGACATGGAACAACAGACTGGTTCCAAATAGGGAAATGAGTAGTCAAGGCTGTATATTGTCACCCTGCTTATTTAACTTATATGCAGAGTACATCATGAGAAACTCTGAGCTGGAAGAAGCACAAGCCTGAATCAAGATTGCCGGGAGAAATATCAATAACCTCAGATATGCACATGACACCACCCTTATGGCAGAAAGCAAAGAACTAAAGAGCCTCTTAATGAAAGTGAAAGAGGAGAGTGAAAAAGTTGGCTTAAAGCTCAACATTCAGAAAACTAAGATCATGGTATCTGTCCCATCACTTCATGGCAAATAGATCGGGAAACAGTAGAGACAATGACAGACTTTATTTTTCTGGGCTCCAAAATCACTGCAGATGGTGACTGCAGCCATGAAATTAAAAGACGCTTACACCTTGGAAGGAAAGTTATGACCAACCTAGACAGCATATTAAAAAGCAGAGACATCACTTTGCCAAGAAAGGTCCATCTAGTCAAGGCTATGGTTTTTCCAATAGTCATGTATGGACATAAGAGTTGAACTATAAAGAAAGCTGAGCGCCGAAGAATTGATGCTTTTGAACTGTGGTGTTGGAGAAGATTCTTGAGTCCCTTGGACGGAAAGGAGATCCAACCAGTCCATCCTAAAGGAGATCAGTCCTGGATGTTCATTGGAAGGACTGATGTTGAAGCTGAAATTCCAGTACTTTGGCCACCTGATGGGAAGAACTGACTCACTGGAAAAGACCCTGATGTTGGGAAAGATTGAAGGTGGAAGGAGAAGGGGATGACAGAGGATGAGATGGTTGGATGGCATCACTGACTCAATGGACATGAGTATGAGTAAACTCCAGGAGTTGGTGATGGACAGGGAAGCCTGTTGTGCTGCAGTCCATGGGGTCACAAAGAGTCAGACACGACTAAGCAAATGAACTGAAGGAAAACAAAATGACAGACATAACTACATACAAGTAAATAACAACAATAAAATATAAATGGATTAAAGATTCCATTCAAAAAAGTAATTGTAGAGGGTAAAGACAACAGGTATTTGGGAAGAAAAAACTGACAGGACTTGGCTTGAGGAGGAATGAAGAGCAGGAACTAAAGATAATTTCTAGGTCTCTTGTCAAAAAAGGGATGCCTTAAAAGAGGTAAATATTAATACATATTAAAATACACAGCTATTAAAGTAAAAGATGTTCAGCCATATACCACCAAGCAGTATGATGTCATATTTGAGATATCACCATAACAGAGAACTGTTCTTTTGTTTGAACTCTTCAATTATCAATCATATAATTTATAACTACAAGTCCATTAAGTGTGGAAAAGTTGGATTATAAAAGATAGTGTAGTGGTGATATAAAGCAGAGATTCCAGAGCTAGGGTGCTCAGTCCTGCCACTCCCAGACACATGATTTTGAGCAAGTTACTTCACCCTTCTGTCCCTCATATTCCTTATAACAGAAGGATTAAAAAAAGATGCATGTCAAATGGTTTCAGCCAGAATTAAAGCAGTCAATATATGCAAAGCACTTAGAAGCTCTATCTATGCTCTAGCTATTGTTTTTTACATCATAAATCTCTTGTTCATGGTTTCACTTTTAGAATGAATGGCAAAGTTATTAACACAACCTTCATACTATCTGGCTCCTACCCATCTCTTCAGCTTTAATTAACACCACTCTACACTTCATATGGGCTTCCCAGGTGACGCAGTGGTAAAGAATACACCTGTCAATGCATGAGATGAAGGAGATGCAGCTTTGGTCCCTGGGTGGCAAAGATTCCCTGGAGTAGGAAATGGCAACCCACTCCAGTATTCTTGCCTGGAAAATTCTATCAACAGACGAGCATGGTGGGCTATAATCCATGAGGCTGCAAAGAGTCAGACAGACAGACAGACAGACAGACAGACACACACACACACACACACACACACGCCCTTATTCATTATATGCCAGGTACCAGACTCCCTGGCAGTACAGGGCTTTCCCTTTACCTGTTATCTTCTCTTTCAGAGCTCAACTTAAATCACATTTTCTCTAACAGGCCTGCTTTAAATCACAAATCAGGTCACACAGTCCCATATCATAGCATTACAACTATATTTGATCATTTGCTTAATGTTTATTACCTCTAACTTACACATTTATGTTTTAGGCAATTTCCAGATTAAGAAAAAAAATTTTTTAAGTAAATGAGGAAAAAATTTTCCATTTGCTGATTTGGTAAAGTATTCCTTCTGCAGAGGCATACAAATACCTCTTTCTTAATAATGCTATTACATGAAAGAACTCTTGTCTACCACAGCTGGCAGAAAAGAAAACAACACATTAGAAGAATAAGCTGGCAGAGAAACTGACTAGCCATTTCCCATGATCACAGACTGAATCTGGTGGCAGTATTTCTTCATGTACTTTGACATGCTAATTTCATGTCTCAGAGCCAACTGTTCAAAGGTCATTCTATCAGTAAATATTTTAGTAATGTTCTAGCTAACAGCTCATCTCGGTTTATATCTCATAAAGTCAAACATAAGATAGAAAGAATCCAATTATCCAAGAATTCAGATCTCTCACCGTAAGAGTTTTAAAAAGAAAGCAACCAGTCAACGACAAAATACTAAATCAACCCATGTATTATTTGTTCTTTTATTACTATACAATCCAGGTCCAAAGTCTTCCTATCCTAAATGTTTTGTCCTCCTTTAAACTGAAATATAACTGACACATAACATCATGTGAGTTTAAGATGTACAACATGTTGGTTTGATACTTATATACTGAAATATGACTACCACAGCATTAGCTAACACATTTACCATGCCACATAATTACTTTCTTTTCTTCAGTGGGAACAATTAAGATCTCGTTGTTTATAATATAGTATTGAAGACTATAATCACTACATTGTGCATTAGATCTCAAGGACTTATTTATCTACTAGTTCTAGGTTTGTACCCTTAAACAACATATTCCCAACTGCTCCAACTCCCAGCTTCTGCTAACCACCAGTCTAAGTTGTTTTTGTAAGTTTGGCTCTTTTCGATTCCACATATAAGTGATGCTATATAATATTTGTCTTTCTCTGACCGACTTATCTCACTTAGCATAATGCCCTCCAGGCACACCTATGTTTCCACACATGGCAGATTTATTTTTTCTCAATGGTTAATATTCCATTGTGCAAACATACTGCAACTTCTTTATCCATTCATCTACTGAAGAACATGTAGGTTGTTTCTGTATCTTAGCTATTGTGAATAACGTAACAATGAATATAGGAGTACAAACATCTCTTCAATTCCTGTTTTCATTTCCTTTGGGTATACAGCTAAGCTGTGAACAACAGAAATTGAAACTGCACAGGTCCACATACAAATTTTCTTTTCAACAATAAAATACTACAGTACCACACAATGCAGTCAATTTTAAGAGAAATCAACCATGAATACTTGTTGGAAGGACTGATGCTGAAGCTCCAGTATTTTGGTCATCTGATGAGAACAGATAACTCATTGGAAAAGTCCCAGATGCTGAGGAAGATCGAGGGCAGAAGGAGAGGAGGGTGTCAGAGGATGAGATGGCTGGATGGCACCACCAGTACAACAGACTCTAATGAACTTGGGCAAACTTCGGGACCTGGTGAAGGACAGGGAGGCCTAGCAGGCTGCAGTCCATGGGGTCCCAAAGCATCAGACACAACTGGGTGACTGAACAGCAACAACAGGGACAACCACACAATCCATGGTAGGTTAAATCCACAAATGCAGCACCTCAGATACAGAGCTACCATGTGCATACAAAGGGAAGACCGTAAGTTACAAGTGGATTTTCAACTGTACAGAGGGTCGGCACCCCTAACCCACATAGTTCAAACTCAACTATAGGACCGCCCTGGTGGTACAGTGATAAGAATCCACCTGCCAATGCAGGAGTCAAGGGTTCGATCTTGGTCCAGAAGATTCCACATGCCACGGCGCAACTAAGCCCAAGCACCCTGCAGTCTGTACGCTGCAGTGACTGAGCCTGTGCACCTAGGGCCCGTACTCCACAATAAAAGGAGCCATAGCAATGAGAACCCCAAACACCAAGAAGAAGAATAGCCCCCACTTGCCAAAACTAGAGAAAGCCTGCATGCAGCAACAAAGACCCAACACAAACAAGATAAATTAAAAATAAAAATAAGCTCAACCGTATGTCCAGAAGTAGAACTGCTGAATCATAAGGCAGTTGCATTTTTAATTTTTTAAAGA